AAGTCGCGGAGGAATGCACTCTGCAGAGATGCGTGCATAGCACGAGAAAACAAAGGATCGGCAACCATGCAGGCAGCTGTAAGAAGGCAGGTGCTGCTCTCTGAAGAAGAAAAAAGACTACAGCTGAAAATAAAATTTAATATTGCGTATTATATTGCTAAAGAAGAGACCCTGTGAAGTTTGGTCCGCTTATTACCCTACATAAGAAAAACGGAGTGAACATAAATCCAACATATGACAACGATAAAAGGTGTGCAGAAATGATTGGACAAATTGCAGACCAAGTAGACTTTAAGAATTTAGAACCAAGAACTACTTTATTACAGATGTTCAGTCAGATCATACAGTTCATACGGTTTAAATTAAAAAAATATTAAATACCGTTTAAAGAGACAGCTGTTGAAATAATTAAAAGAGAACCTAGTGTACTTATGGTTTTCAAATAAATGAAATCACTTTGCTTTTAAAGGTCTCCTCGTATCCCTTTATTAGGTAAAAACACATTATTTAATACATTTTCATTGCGCCCCTAAAATTCTTTAATGTGCTCCCAACTTAGGAGCACATGTGCTCCTTCTGAAAAAAGTAAGCGTCAAGCCCTGTAGTGTGATGATGTTCATGTTTCAGTGTTGTTACGGTTAACTAAAACTAAACATATTCAAAAAATTTTTTTTCGGTAACTGAATTAAAGACAAAATTAATACAAATAAAATACATTTTATATGAAAAACTTAAAATAAAAAATTAAAAATGTTGCCTTGGCAACTAACTGAAAGAAATATGTTTAAGCACTAAAATTACTCAAACTAAAATAAAATAAAGAAAAAATACAATCAAATAATACAAAATAATAATAATAATATAATACAAATAATAATAATAAAAAAATAAACATGAAGAGCACATAACATTTTGTAAAATTAAATTAAAAGAATAAGAAATATTGTGATTAAATAAAACAAACATCATATGAAAAACTAAACCTTAAAAAAACAAAAATGTTGCCTTAGTAACTAACTGGAATAAATAAGTTAAAGTTGAAGTACTAAAATGACGTAAACCTAAATAAAAATAATTTAAAGAATATAAATAAATAATGAAAATGACAAAAGCACATAACAACTAGTGGTCGGCCGATATATATTATTATAATACTTTCTCGTTTGCCGTCAGCATTCAGCAAATACGCATTTATATCATTTAAACAAATCTTTGAATGACTAATGAACATCTAATTTCAAAAATCTTGCAAACTTAGTCGGATGCAGCTCTGAGATCTTGTGAAGTGTGCATTTGTATCCTGCATGATCGTGTGTTCTCTGCGTGACTTTTGGTCCGTGCAAATTGAATGCTTTAAACATTAAATTCATGATTTCAAATTATGCTGCGCTTCATAAAATATAATTCCCAATGCACACAAACTTCCCAGAATACTGAGTGCTCTGTTGGTTACAGTTTACTT